GCCCAGCCCTGGGGGAGGGGGCGCCTGAGGACACGACCTTGCGCCCCCCACCCAGTCCGCCCCCGCCCGATTCTGCGCTCCCGGGGGCGCCTAGGGGACTGGCAGCCGGAGGGTTTGGGGAAGGAGGGAAGCGGCGCCGGTGCCCAGGAGTTCAAAGAAGAGAGACACCCTCCCTGCCCTCTCCCGACTGGGGTGCCCTGCTGGGATCCTGGGAGTGATCGCCAGCGGGCCTGAGGGACGCCGAGCAGAGTGGGGGTCCCCGAGGAGGGCGGTGGGCCAGTCTGCACGCTGGGGTCCCCTTGCCCGCCTGGACACGTGGCTCCTTACGCCCAACTCTGCCCTTTGCAGTGGGGAGCGAAGGGGACGGCCAGCGGCCCCAGCCGGGGTCCAGGCTGACAGTACGCTCGGGAGTGGGCTGTGCTGGCCTTGGCTCAAGGGGTGGGAGTCCAGGGCCAGGCCCAGCCTCCTGCGTGGCCTATTTTTAGCTCGGAGCAGCCTGGCAGAGGCAGGCTGTGAGCAAGCGTCTCCGTGGGAGCGGCGTGTGTGGGGAGGGTGACCACCCGTGGCCGCTACAACCGCCCAGTTCCCAAATATTTGCTCATTGCTCCATCTCTTTGCTGTCCACTTGCCTAGACATCCTCGTTCCTAGAGAACATCCACCTCCCTCAAGGTCAGGTGTCCGTGTGCGTCCAGCAGCTGCCGGGCTCTGCCCTGGCTGCCCGGCCTGAAACGTGCCGTAACCTCCTGAGATGGGCTGGAGCCGTGTTCGCTCCGTGGCGCCAGTGTTCCGTAGAGTCAGGTCCACTGGGCAGGCAGGAGTAGGTACACTGACCGGCACCCGCTTCTCCCAGTGCGGGAGGGCAGGGACCTGCACGTCACCCTGCCGGGGCCTGGGGACCCCCCTACCTGGAAGGCCTGACCTGGGAGGGATGGGGGAGACCTGAGCTTCCTGGGGAAGCGCAGATGGAGAGCCGGCAAGCGGTGTCTGGGGGCAGGCCACTGCCACACGTGGCTGGAGTAGCCACGCTCAGCACAAAGGCCCCTCGGAAGTGGGCTGGGGGGGCGGGAAGTGCCGGCACAGCTGCCCCCCGCTGGCACAGACAGGACACCCCGCGTGACACCTGCTTCTGTGTGGTGTCGGCGGGGCAGGTGTGGGTGTGTGACGGGAGGGGGCCAGAGACCCCCTGGCTCAGAGGTCTGGGGGCGGAGGGGGGGACAGCACTAGGGAGTCAGAGGGAAAGAAGCAGCTCTCACCCTCTGTAGTCTCCAGAAAGGGATCTGCTGGCCGGAAATTCTGCCGCTGTCCAGCCTCAGCCCGCTCCAGCAGGCGCCGATGTGGTGGGCGAGGCAAGCGGCCGTGGAGGGCAGAAGGGGCTGGAAGCCCTGAGGAGGGCAGGTGGCCAGGGAGAAAGGGAGCCCAGCACCGCGGTGGCGGCATGACCGATGTGGCCATAAATCAGGTGTGCGGTGGCTGGAGCCAGGATTCGGGAACGGACACGGGAAGGGGACCTTGTGCTCACCCCGGGTTCAGCTGACCGGGAGCCTTTGCAGAGGTTGACATTGGCCCCCTCCAGGGTCCCCTGGAGCCCAAGGGCCCACTTGCTTAGAAATCTTGACCAGAGCAAGGACACCCATCGAGGAAGGGGCCCCTCCGAGAGCCCCCCCAACCCCTCAAGACCTTCCTGTCACGCCGGGGTCTTGGTCCAGGCTCCGAGCACCCAGAAAGTCCTCTCGCTGGAAGAGGCCGGCCCACACCCCGCGTGCGCGAAGCACAGGGCCCGCCTGGGGCTGGGCAGTGCAGCGGTCATGCGTGTGCGTGTGTGTGCGCGTGTGTGTGCGATCACAGACAGAACCGGCACCGCCAGGGTCCTTGAAATGTCACTGGACTCAGGTGCTCGCGGGTTTTTCTGAGAAAGCAACACCCCCCCCCAAACTAGCCCCATTCTACACACCCGTCCCCCGCTCTGGCGAGTCTCCCTGCACACGGCAATACCCGCCTTTCTATCGCTGGCACCCACCGTCTGCGCGTCTCACCACCCGCACCCCGTGACGATGGCACAAAGTGCTGGCACGCCGGCTGAAGAGGAGCGCCGGGCCAGGCCCAGCCTGGTCGCCTCCACGCATCACCTGCGCCCCTTCCCAGGCCGGGCAGGCCCGCTCCCCACTGCTGTCCTGCAGGAAGCTGCCCGGACCCCAGCCCCACGCAAGCCTCTCCAAAGACTCGAGGGGGACAGCTGCGAGACCCACGCGTCCCTGAACGGACTTCAGCACTGCTTGGCTTTGTTGGCAGCACGGGGGGGCGGGGGGGTGGGCACGGAGACCGGAGGGCTTGGCGTCTAGACGGGGCGGGAGGCAGGATTGGCTCCTGCAGCTGCGCCGTAGACCCCGGCCTGGGTCCTGCCAACGGCCCCCCCCGGGATGGTGGCCACCACCCCAAGGTCACTCTGTTTCCCAGGACGCAACGGCCAAGAAATCAGAAAGTCAGTGTGTCCAGGGACGGGGCGGGCACTGGGGACCGAGGGCCAGGGACGGGCTTCCACCCGCCTGCCCGGTGCGGCCCTCCTGCGCGGGGTGGCCACAGAGGGCGTTCGCGGCGGGCGCTGGCCCGCGCAAGGTGGATGTCCACTTGAGGGGTGGGCTGGAGGCTGAGAAGGAAGCCTTGTGCCCTCTCGAGTTATTTCTGACCATTGATCCAGGATGGACGGAAGGCCGGCCGGCCAGAGATCGATGCGTGAGAGCAGCTCTCGCTACTGAGAGACAGGACGGGAAGGGGGGGAGAGGCAGAGGTGGGGGGGTGGGGAAGGGCCCGGGAATGCCCACCCAGGACCACATGACATGCATCTTTGAGGGGTGCTGTGGGCCGGCCCCAGTACTTAGCTGAGTGGTGTCAGCGGGCTTTGACGCCCCGTGTGAACTTGACCTCTTCCCTCAGATCCGGAGGCGTCGGCCCACCCCAGCCACCCTCGTGCTGACCAGTGACCAGTCGTCCCCAGGTAACCCCAGGGATGGGTCGCTGAAGGGAGAGGGCACCACTGGACCCCCGTGAGGGCAGGTGGGGCTCAGGGGCGCGAGCGTCTCCTGGGCCTCCGAGGCAGGCGAGTGGTGCCGGGTTGGCAGGGTTCCTCTGCTTGGGAAAACAGAGCTCGGTGCCAGGAAGGGGAGGCAGGCCACCTGGTCCCTAAGCCCCCAGGAATCGGGGTGGTCAACTGAGCGCTGGTTGCTGTGGCAACAGCCTTCCAGGTTTCTCCAGCAACTAGCTGCTGCTGCCCCCACCCCCAGAGGCGGGGACAGCTGTGAGGGGGAGGGCCGCCTCCCCCATCTTCTGGCCCTCCAGAGGCAGGCGGGCGGCTGGGGTTTTGGTCACCACGTCCCATGCCCCACGCTGAGATGTGGGGCAAGAACTTGGCCACACACCTGTCAGGGGAGCTGGACGGGAGCGGGCGCGGCGGGCCCAAGCTCACAGGCCGCCTGGCAGCCCCCAGCCTCCAGCTTCCCACACGCACCCCGAAATAACGATGGCACCTCCCTGGCCCCGCACAGGAGGCATCTGCCCTTTACCCGATGCCCACCTGTCCACAGTCCAGTGTCCTCCGAGCGGGGCTGGGGGGGAGCTGGATGCGTCAGAGGGAGGAAAGGCGAACGCCTGCCCGTCCCGCCAGGGCCGAGGCCAGGCGCAGGGGAGGCCTGGCCACCCAGCAGGGCCGCCGCGGGGCCTCCTCCCCTGGGGGTGGCTCTGCGGGGCCACCGGGGAGTCCCGTCCTCACCACTCTCTCCTCTCCCTGCTCCCTCAGAGGTAGATGAAGACAGGCTCCCCAACCCGCTGCTCAAGGTGAGCTTGCCCCTCACCCAGCCCTGCCCCGGGAGCCCACAGACCCAGCAGGCAGCTCCTCTCACAGCCCCCCCCCAGCACCCCAACCACACACGAGTGGGCAGCACACACGCTCCCCACATGCGGTGAGGACTGTGGGGTGGCACCGGAGAGGCAGGCACTCCCTCCCCCACCTTCTGAAGCCCACCCCCACCCCGTTTCCAACACAAAAGCCCGCCGGAGGAGGGAGGGAGCGGCCGGCACCCACCTTCCTCTCTGCCCTCCGCAGTCCACTTTGGCCATGTCTCCCCAGCAGCGGAAGAAGGTGACCCGGACCACACCGACGATGAAAGGTTCGGGGGCCCATCCCTTCCCCTCTCAGGCTGAGGCTGAGCGGCCGCCCAGGACCCCGTCAGGGGGCCCCGAGGAGTCCCTGAGTCTGGCCCCAGGGTGGTGGGCCGTGGCTAGACGGACCAGGGCTGGGTTCGGCTTTGCCACCCACCGGCCGGGCGGCCCAGGGGCGCCACGTGAGCTCCGAGCCACCGCAGCAGTTCACCGAGCCCAGTGTGTGGACTCGGCCTGCGTGGCCGGCCAGGCACACGGGAGGAGCCCAGGTACTTCCGGAGCAGGAACTGAGCCGTCTCCTGCTGCACCCCAAGGCTCTCCCCTGCCCCTCGCCACCGGGAAGCAAGTGCATTTTATTGCCTAGCCTGCGTCCCCCCTCATTCGCTAGCTAGCGCCCCCCCCAGCTCGGCCGAGTGACATGTCCACCCGCACCCGCAGTGAGGGTGTTGGGGTCCACAGAGGGGCCTCTGGGCTGTCGGTCCAATGCGCCCTCCATTTCTTGTGCCCCCAGAGCTCCAGATGATGGTTGAGCATCACCTGGGGCAACAGCAGCCGGGAGAGGAGCCCGAGGGAGCCGCCGGGGGCGCGGGGACCCAGAAGTCCTGCCCACCTGGGACCCCCGCAGCAGCACAAAGTAGGTTCAGGCCGGGCAGAGCCAGCCCAGGACGACGCCTTTCTGGGGTGGGGAGGGCCCCAGTAGCGGCGAGAATCTCGAATCTCTCTCGAGGACGTGGATGCACTTTCGGGGGTGCATGGACTTGCCCCCACACACACAGGGGCACCAGCGTCCAGCTCCCCCACCCTGCAAGACAGGACCAGCTCCCCCCCCCCCGGGGGGGGGATGGGCTCCGGCTCTGCCCCGGGGCCGCTCCGGGCCTGGCGCTGTCCGCTGACCCCAGGCGACACCCAGGCCAACTTCCCCGGGCGCTTTGAGCCAATGAAGCAAGATGGAGGCCACCCAGCAGCTGGCAGGAGGAGGTTCAGTTAGCCAGGCGGTGCTGGGTGGTGTTCGCACATGTGAGCAGCCCCTGCGCCACATAAGTTCCAGAGTTCCACAGTTTCCAGTGGGATGAAGGTGGCACAGTGCCTCTGCTGTGCCACGTGCCTCCCCCGCGGCCCGCCCGGTGCTGGAACACACCCCACTTTCTGCAGTGGAGCCAACAGTCCCGCGAAGTGGGGTAAAGACCCGGCGTAGCCCTGTACCAGCTCAGGTCAGGCTTAGCCACCCACTGAGCGTGTGCCCGCATTCTTCCTGTTAACTCTTTCTGGACGATTCTTTATGGGTGACAGGTGAAAGGGAAATAATGGCGCCGGTAGTAGGAATCGGAGGAGAGTCAGGGCAGTGATCAGAGAACACCCCGTGGGCCTCGCCCGGTTGCTCCAGCTGGGCCGGGGCTCCCGGGCGCCCCTGCAGTGTTACGGGGCGGATGAGCCAAAGCGGCCCCCTCTCTCCAGGGCCTCATGCGGCCCCTCTCGGCCCCTGCCCCTTTCCCTCCTTAGGGCCTGCAGAACCCATTCCCAAAACTCGGGAGAGGGGCGGTGAGGAGCCCAGCACAGAGGACCCCTCCGCTCACACACCGCCACTGGACTCCCAGGGGGCCCACCCGGTAAGCCCAGGGCGGGGCTGCCGCTGGACCCCAGAGGGGGAACAGGGCCAGCGCCCTCCGCAAGGCCAGCGTCCCTCTGAGGGGCCTCCTGCTCCTCTGAGGGGCAAGGGAAGGGAGATGGGACTCAGCTGCAGCAGGAGGGGCTGGGGTTAGACTTAGCTCTTCAGGCGCCTGGAGCAGGTGGCGGAAGTGGATCACGGGCTTTCCGGGCACTGGGAGCCCAGAGGAAGATTCTCAGCGCAGACGCCCTGCCCGAAGGGGCATCCGGAAGGGGCATCCGTGCAGTGCCCTTGTGAGCCCGGACTTGAGAAGCCGCCCCCCCTCCACCCCCCCACCCCAGGCTGGGGGCGCGGCAGGTTCAGACACTGGAAGTTAGACCGCCACCTCCCTCTGGCCTCCACTCACCCTCGCTCTCCGCCCCTCCAGCCATAACAGGTCTGAGAGTGACGTTTCCTGGAATCGAGGCGGCAGTTGGGAATGAATGCATGGACACTGGATTCCTTTCTTACTTCTTCGCTTTTGGGGAAAATCTCATTTTTAAAAAGTGATAAATTTGGTGTTAGATCCTTGGCATTCTCCGTCTTTGCGACTTGAAGAGCTTTTCTCCCCGCCCTCGTGTCCTGCCCTCCTGACAGCCCTCACCCTCTTCCCAGCTGCCTCAGCAAAGGAAGAAACGGGGAGCTGGGCGCAGCCTTGAGGGGGGGTATCTTTCCCCCGCCGGCCGCCCTTCTTCCAGGAGGAGAGACAGGGTCACGCAGGTGGGGCGGGCCGGGGTACCTGGCCCCAGAGGCGCCTATGCAGGACCGGGGCCTGCCCTGCAGCCCAGAGAGCTGAGCCGAGCGAGGGAAAGGCGCCCCTTCTCCTGCGGGGCGCGTTCAGCACGCGCGGGCGGGCGGCTCAGCGCCCGGCTGCGTGGGGGTGCCGTGGGGGTGCCGTGGGGGTGCCGGCCGCGCAGGGCCCACTAGGCTGTGCTGTTGCGCCATCTGCTGGCAAAGCGGGGAGCTGCGCCCTGGCCCCGGGCCGGGCGGTGCGGCTGCCGCCTCCCGCCCT